TTTGCATTGAGTGCGTTAGATATGATATCCCTAGAGTCTTTCTATCGGACTGAGAAAGCTATTAATTCCTAGGTGAGCTCTGTAGACTACCAAACACTTTCCTGGCAAAGCAGATATTCAAAAATAGACTGTTTCACTACTTAAATTTTGATAAATATTTCTGACATTTATTGTATTCTTCGGATATACGATTTTGAGCATGTGTATAGACGGTATTTTTCCACCAAAAACTTCATGGAAACGAATATTACATAATATGTGATCGAAACAAAGAAAAGAGACTGGTTATTGCAATTACAGTGCAGTTTCTAGTGTTAATACCAATATTACCAATGGGGTATAATCCTTGCACGATATTGAGTATGAACACCCTCGATTACTCTCCTTTGCAAAAAAAAAACTCGCGCATGTGACATATGAAGACTTTGTGCAACATCAGGTATGCTTCTCTGTCCTAAGAATCTAGACACGCGTGAAAAAGTATGAGAAGGTGTTATTGAAAATCTCAGGTTACAGCACATACATCTCATCTATACAGTTACAGATTTTTTTGCTTGGACAGCCAGTCAAACTTTTAAATATTCTAAACTCCTGAGATGTTTTTACTTTAATACAGAAATGTACATGAATAATGGAGCGTTAAATTAAGTGTGTGTGTGTGTGTGTGTGTGTGTGTGTGCGTGTGTGTGCGTGCGTGCGTGCGTGCGTGCGTGTGCGTGCGTGCGTGCGTGCGTGCGTGTGCGTGCGTGCGTGTGTGCGTGCGTGTGTAACCACGGATTGTAATATAAATCCTTGGTGTAACTGTTAGAATTGAATTAAATTACTAACCTGTTGCAATGTTGAATTGTTGCACGTAATTATAACAATAGCCTCCTTAACTAACTAACTAACTAACTAACTAACTAACTAACTAACTAACTAACTAACAAACTAACTAACTAACTAACTAACTAACTAACTAACTAACTAACTAACTAACTAACTAACTAACTAACTAACTAATTTAACTAACTAACTAATTAAGTAACTAACTAATTAAGTAACTAACCAACCAACGAAAGTTAATATGACAAAGTATATACATGTAATTGTAAATTTTTTATGTTTAGCAATCCAAATATTGAGGAAATAAAAGTATCAAGTATCATATATCTTATGTTCTTCTACAATATTATTTACAATGAATGTACAATGTCAGCTAAGGATTTCGATGTATATTTGAGCTCGGGCAAAAAAAAACAACAGCCCTGAAAAAAATTAAATATGCTTATACACATTGTATAAGCTGATACTAACAAACCAACATTAGTTGTTATTACATGTGATATACAGTATCTGCGACAAAAATATACATTTTGTCCCAGACAGTATGCGAAGTATACTGTACGTGTACCACGTCCTTAAATAATATAAAGAATACAATTAAATAAAAAAACTAGATCTATATATATAGCGTTTTATAACGCATCAACACATAACTACGGTTGCATAGAGGTGACATGAGTATCTCCTGCCCACGAGTTAATTATCTCGTGCGCACGACTTAGTGACTCGTGGTCATGACATGGTATCTCGTGCGCACGAGAAAAATAAAAACACACACATATGTCACCTCTGTGCCACCGTATAACTGATATCGCTTCATATCTTTTCAAACAAATAGAAACTTTAATAATTTAATTATGTGTATTTTTCAATGTTGATTAAATCATACACGCAGGTCTAACTGCGTTGCGTCACGCTTTTAATTACAGCCCTGATTGCGTCAAACTATTCATTTCTATACGTATTTCAATTAATCTGGGAATTAATCAAATAACATCAGTCCAGCTCGGTCATTTAGACATAATTATGCAAAATTAATCTTCAAAGTCTCTCAGTTTAAGGATTAAAATGAATCATGTTCCGTCTTGTCGCTTAATCCTTAACAAGTCAAGAAATCTAGAGAATAAATCTGTTTTGACAGCGAACCTGGCAACACGTGTGTTTATTGTTTACATCTTGTCCATGTTATAAGCGATTTCGTCACGTGACGCATCGATGAGACATCGCCAGGATTCCCCGGAAGCAATATTTTTAGAAATTTATAGTGAAAATGACAGAAAAAGAATTTATTTTCGATCCACACAATAAAGTGGAACGCAGTTATGGATATTGTATGTTCTTTGTCAGTATAATATCATTTATACTCACCAATATAGTGGTCACCAAAATTGGACCTCCCAAAAACGTGAAAGGAGACCCGTGGAGATGGAACAATTTATTCATTTCTTGGATACATGCAGCCATATGTGGCACATGGGATATACTTTGGTTTGTATATTGTGTATGCATATCTCGTTTTAACAAAATTTATATATGATTCTCTATAGGATCTGTTTGAATCTAAACGATTTCGGCAAATTTGAAGACCCAGGAAAATATGTCGCTTGTATCGCTGAAAAAAATATATAGAAATGCGACTTGCTTTTAGGTACACAATAACTTGCTTCGGCTTGTTCATCCCGTATGAAAGATTCAAATTCCACAATTTACATTTAGTATATGAATTAAAAAACAGGTTTTCCTTGCTTTTATGACTCACAGTCAATTTAATGATGATAAATTATAATAATACGTACATTCCTAGGCCAACCGCAGAAGGTTTTGACTAACTAATACACCAATTGACAGTTGCGAACCTGGCAGATCACAGGCTTTTCTTCTCAGTAATTTTGCGAGTAAAGATTACCGGCTGTGTATCTCTATGTTAAATAGTCTGACATGTGGTAGTTTTAACAAATTTTTTTAAATACTTTTGGTGCCTAAAGAGGTGAGATGAAGCTAAGATCACAAGCTTTTCATTGATGTAATGAAAAATAAAATTGGTCTATAAATAGCAAATAACTAGTGGTTTGAATGTGGCAAAATTAGTATTGTTTAAGTATTAGAGATATCAATTTAAGTCGAAGACAATGGAAACAACTCATGTTTTTACACTTGATATACCTCGGTTATAATTTAAGCAGTTTATACAGAAACTGTCAATGTGGGGTGCATTGTTGAATTATTTGAATTTGTATCCCTTTTTAAGTTTTTTATATAATACATTGACTGTGGTAAAAGAAAAGATGTTCCGTTTCTTATTCACTATGTTCTGGTTACTATCCTTAATGAAGACTACTTGACCTCTCTCTATCTCCCAAGTATCTTTTCACGGCCATCCCTGTAGCTTTATTTATAGCAACTTCAGACTATATTTGTATTAAAAGTATTTTAAGTTCTTTTTCTTTCTTAGGATTGTGTACCATTCAAACTGCTTACCACCTTCAGATAAATTATTTTGAAAATCAGCTCTTCATCAATATATATTGAATATATACACTGAGCAAAAGTTTCAATCAGATCTTTGAAAAATGTTGATAACTTCCTTATTTGAACAGCTAAGATAATGAAATATTACAAATGACAAAAAGTGTTACAATAATGTGTAATCAAACTGGTTTTATGTATATTTAAACTATCCAATCGGCAGTGCATGTGCTTTTTACACATGCTATTCAAATATCATATAAGAAGATAGCTTGCAAGTTTATTGTATAAATAGAAGCATTTACTTTCTTTTATTTGCTTATGTCAGTTAACTGTACATGTATTAATACTTTCTATTCTACTTTTGTTTCAGTTTATATTTTTATCCAGAGATGTTGGATGACCTAGTTCACCATATTAATTACTTCACATATCTAATGATTGCCTTCTCAACAGGTATGTTAACCTTTTTATGCTAAGATTTGTCATATAGACATACAATGCAAGAAAAATGAGAGAAAAAGTAGCCTGATCTAGACTCAAACTTGAGACCCTTGAAACACTTTTTTCAGAAGCTCCCCCAACTGAGTTATTTTTTTATCCATCTACTTATCTTTTTCCCTATTAGGCAATAGGTCTATATGGTTACATGTTTCAACACTAAATTTAAATACATTGTAGAAGTTCAATTTTCTAATGGAAGCAGAAACAATGTAAATTGACAGACTTAAAGCTTCTTACTGTCATAGTCCATGTCAGACAAGAAATGTTGATGACAAAAGTGTGAATCCTGACAGTTCATCCTGACTGAGACTCGAACCTGGGACTCTTGGAACAGTTTTATGGGCTGAGCTACTAGGCTGCTTTAACCATCTTCTCCCCTATTAGTGAACAGTTCTATACCAACAGATTTGCACATTAAAAAGGCAAAACTATGCTTATAAGCTGATGTTTATTGGTTTGAATGCTGTGTGTGGGCAGGATTTATTTCACATGCATTTGCATATATTTGAAAGCTAGATAATTTTATGATTAACCTTGATTAATTAACTCAAGATTTTTGGTTTTTCCTTTCAGGTTACTTTGTGTATGATTTCCTAGATCTGATGTACAATGGCAAGCTGATAGCTAATTGGGAAGTCACACTTCATCATATAGCAGTAAGTTACTTTTTTACTAAATATGAAGTTTATTATTATAGATTAGATTGTGAGGGATTTGGTCTTATTATACTGAAGTTTTGAAGTCCCTAGGAGATTCTGTATTTTATATGCTTTCAATCTTCACATATAGCTGACTGCTTCATACTAGTATTAGAATAATTATTAGGCTATATGTATTGTGTAATCTCAAGAATACAATTGTTTGTTATAATAATATTAGATTATCAAAGCTTATGATGTCACATGATAGTTGCTTGAAGATTGTTGGAAACATTGTTCATTGTGGCTTTGGGGTATTGAAGAAAACATACCTATGGAAAACAAGCTAGAATTGGTTACATGTTCTTGAGCTTGACAGGTCAAAATGTGAACCTATGGTTTAACTTACCAAATGACATGAGGTTGTCACGATGAAATGTGAGACTTATACTGTGCTTATTTAGTGACCCAGGCTGGTTAGGCTGAGATCTTGCTTATTTAGTGACTTGATCTTGTCAGGCTGAAATATGAGCCCAAGACCTTGCTTATTTACTATTTAGTGACTTGGCTTGTTAGACTGAAATGTTGGCCTAAGACCTTGCTTATTGACAGTTTACTATGTAGTGAGTTGGCTTGTTAGGCTGAAATATGGGCCCAAGACCTTGCTTATTTACTACATAGTGACTTGGTTTGTTAGACTGAAATGTGGGCCTAAGACCTTGCTTATTTACTATGTAGTGAGTTGGCTTGTTAGGCTGAAATGTGGGCCTAAGATCTTGCTTATTTACATGTACTATGTAGAGACTTAGCTTGTTAGGCTGAAATATATGTGATTGTAAGACCTTGCTGATTCAGTGACAAGTGTTTGTCCGGCTGATATGTGAGACTTGTGTCCTGGATTTTAAGTGACTAGGGCATTATAGGCCATATTTTCAGCTATATCAGACTGAACTTATATACCATCATAGTCATGCTTTTAGTATTCTCTATAGTTACTGATATTTCTATCAATTTTCTGCTGTCACCTTGCAATCATGAATGCTTTACCTCTTACTTTTCTTACTTTTTACTTGTTTTTCCTTTTTTTTCTTTTTTCCTTTTTTAGCTCGACTTTTCGCAGAATAATAATGCAGTCACCCATTTGTCGGCCTCCCTATGGTTAAGTTTTTGCGTGTAAGCTGGTATCCCTATAACTACTGAAGGAAATGGATTGAAACTTCACAAACTTGTTCTCTGTGATTATCTAACATGATTGGCACAAGTCCCATAACTCAGATTTGCTTCTTTTGCATAATTATGCCCCTTTTTCGACTTAGAAATTCTTGCTTAAGTTTTGCGTGTAAGCTGGTATCCCCATAACTATTGAAGGGAATGGATTGAAACTTCACACACTTGTTCTCTGTGATTATCTAACATGATTGGCACAAGTCCCATAACTCTGATTTGCTTTTTTTGCATAATTATGCCCCTTTTTCGACTTAGAAATTCTTGGTTAAGTTTTTGCGTGTAAGCTGGTATCTCCATAACTACTGAAGGGAATGGATTGAAACTTCACACACTTGTTCTCTGTGATTATCTTACATGATTGGCACAAGTCCCATAACTCTGATTTGCTTTTTTGCATAATTATGCCCCTTTTTCGACTTAGAAATTCTTGGTAAAGGTTTTGCTTGTAAGCTGGTATCTCCATAACTACTGAAGGGTTTGTGCCTTTTTTGGGACAATTTTATGCATTCATAATAATAAAGCAGTGATTTACTCGATAAAACATCTTAATAACAAGCCTTTGTACCTTTTCGGACAATTTTATGTATTCATATAGGTAAGCATTATTATACTCGATGAAACACCCTTGTGACAACTTTTCGAATAGTCGAGCGTTACTGTCCTCCGACAGTTCTTGTTTTTATTCACAATATTGAAATAAAAGTTATTTTGTTTTGTTAGCTTTGGTTGTATGTTGCGTCATTTTAACAATGTAATGCTACCCCCAGGCCCCGTGTTCACAAAGATTTTAGGATCAGGATCAAGATCAGGATCAAATCTAAAAACTCAAATATTATCCATTGTTAATTCTTATAGATTAGATATTTAATACTAACTTGATAAAACTGGACTTGAAATAGCATGTTTTTGAAATTAAAGAATAAATTTATTGTAATTTTTGAAAGATATGGGCATTTTACAGTAAATCCAAATATTGATCTTGATCCTAAAATTGATCCTTATTTTGATCCCATTATTTTTGTATTTGTTTCGTTATTTGTCTATTTTATCCCAAAACAGGATTGTTTCTTTGCAAATCAGCAAAATATTACATTAACTTTATGTACCATTCAATTCTAGCAAAATACGATCAATATTAGTTATATAAAACAAAGAAAATAAAATCAGGATCACTTGATCCTGATCCTGATCTTTTCTTTGTGAACACGGGGCCAGAGCTTGAACTTTTTAGGGGCTGTGGTAACTTCAGGTATGACTTGCAAAAGCTAATGGTAGCTCACAATTTTCTTCAGGAGTGTTATATATTTATAAAATTCTATGATTGCATATACAAAATGTACATCATATTTATGTGATCATTTTGTACAAACATGTTACTGAACTGTCTCAATATTTATGTCATATTGTTCTTTAATTTCTTCATTTCTGTACAAATGTGCGGGTATGGGGGAAAAAAAACAGCATTTCTTCTAGTTTCAGTATGAGCTGTGGCTATTCTGCTTAAGTTGGCCAGTTTTTGTTAATTCTTGAAATTTTGAAATTTACTATTTTGTAATTAAAGAACAATGTGAAGTGAACTGACTTCCGTACATAATTGATATGATTAAGTAGCATTTTAAAATTAAATTGGATATTGAATATGTTTATTGTTAACAACAGTTTTTGTCCTGTCATAATTATTACCTTCTATTTATTTCTAATATTTCAATTTATTTTTTGAGCAAAATCTTGCACAAAATTGCATAATCTTGTTTTCTTTCATTGGTCACATAACTGAAATTGTACTATAATTATACAAGCAGAACTTATAATCCTACCAAAAAAAAAAAAGAAATCAAATTTTCTACCGTATATTGAATTACAGAGAACACAACAATCAGTGTTCAAGGATAGTATATACGTGTATATATGAGCCGCGCCACGACAAAACCAACAAATGCGTTTGCGACCAGCAACCGCGCAGTCTGATCAGGATCCATGCTGTTCGCTTACAAACCCTATAACAAGTAGAGAAACTGATAGCGAACAGCACAGATCCTGATCACACTGCCTGGATGCGCAGGCTGGTCTGGATCCATGCTGGGCGCAAAAGCATTATGTTGGTTTTGTTGTGACGCGTCTCATATCAAGAGCATGAAATCTCAATCTCTTTTTCAAACCAATTTATTTGTTAAGAATAAGATTTTTTAGAAAAACATTTAATAAAAGAAATTATGTACGTATTTCAGGTAACTTCCATGTTCTGGTACAACCTGCATGAGGAGATGTGTATAGGTTACAATGTAGTTGCCATCATGGCCGAAATTAACAGTTTCTTCCTACATTCCCGCAAGCTTCTACATTTATTACAGTACAAATTTGACAACAAATTTTATCGTTTAGTCTGTATGTTGAACTTGGTGACATTTTTCGTCTGCCGCGGCTGGTCGCTGTGTCGGATCTCGTACGGAATGTACACAGAATCTCACCGGGTGCCACCAGTCTACTTCCGGTTTTTGTGTTTTTCTATTTTTGTGATGAACTCGATAAATCCTGTGTTGTTCTGGAGACTTTTAAGAAATGATGTGTTAAGAAGACCGTCAACACCGAAGAAATCAAAGCAGCCAGTTATAAATGGAAACAATAATCAAAATGCTCATTTAAAATCAAATTAATGTTATAGTAATAATGCTGTTTAATTAATGGACACTTCTAGTTTTAGAAATTGCTATGAAATAAACAGTTTAATAAAGGTTGCATTTTAATATTTGTATACATATGTACACCGAAAGATACAAGATTAAATATAAATGAATCAATTAACTATATAGATATATTACGTATTATAGCTTGACATTTGGTCAGTATATATTGTACTTTTAGAACGTTTGTCTTGAATGAAATGTAAATTTTTGCATCATTATTTTCAAAATTTTAGAATAACAGTTTTATTTAAACATTTTCACTAAGTCACTATGATAGTTTTGAAAAACTTTGAATTATTCAGAATATGAATATGAACATAAAAGTTGTACATATATGGACTTTGTACTGAATTGCAATCTTTCTGTTGTCTAGTTGCTTTTTAGCTAGCATTATAAGGGAGACAATTACAATTTAGTTTCATAACCAGTTATTGTCTCCCCTTAGTGTATTAGGTACATGTATATGCATAGTTGTTTAAATAGTGAATCACAGTGATTGAATATATAAAGGTTTTGTTTTGGCATTATGTTTTAAGAAAATGATAAATCATTGTGTTTTACTGATTATGATAATGTTATCATAAAAGCTCACAATATGAAAAGGTTAAAACAGAATTGGATATAAAAGAAAAGTATGGTAAAAGATTTTGAATCATTAGTTTTGCAAACATATCCTATAATTCTTAAAACGTGAAAAAGTTATATGTCCTTGCATAATTCAAAAAGTTAAGTATATTTTAATTATGTCATGTCAGTCGGTCTCCCTATGGACAACATTAACAATGTCTTGGCCTGTAGTAGTCATCATAATTATTTAAAAAAAAGTATATCTCTTAACCATGGCTTGATTTAAATGGATTGAAATTTTACCTTGGGAGACTGACATTAAAGGTCAAATTTTCCAGATTGTATGTTAGTTAAATTCTGTCATGAAATGTTATTTCCTGTGCTTTTATTCTTTGCTTTCCAATTTCATTAATTTATTTATATTATCTTGGTTATTATAGTTAGCTACATGTAGCTGTGTGATATATCAACATTGTAAAATCATTTACTGTATACTAAAAGATGTATTTCATCTAGGAATAATGATGATATAATTCACTTATGTCATTGGTAGTAACCTTTGAACTTTGGTCTTTGTTTTCTATAATATTTACCATGACATAATGTGTGAACCATGTGACTAGTTCGGTACTAATTGGTGACTAAGATTGATAATACAATGTTAGATATGACAGTTAATGTTATGATACTCTATAGATAGGCAAAACCACTTGGTTGTGACTGTAAAAAAAATATGACTACAAATTTTGTGTTACATGTAATTAGAATTCTAGCAATTCTTGCCTGTAAAAAATGAACTAAATTATTTTTGCATTCAGTGTTTTTCCCCTTCTTGATTTAGGTCTCCGAAAATTCTAATATTCTTCAAAATTTTGTAAGTAATTTTTGAAAATTATAAGTTTTACATTTGTCGAATCTCAATATTTGCAATTTTAACATAATCATGCAATTAAACATTTTCCGAAATGGGTTTTACATAGACCTTTTCCTAAAAGGATTAAGTAAAAACACTGGTATCTGTTAGTATTTCATAAAGAATTAACATTTTACATTTAGATTAGATCAAGTTATTTCAACCATTTTTCATTCTGTATAAATATTTCATCCTTCCTCAGTAGTTGTGAAAGTTAGCAGTTTTCAAACTTTGTAAATTTGGCATCGTTCAACCTGGCATCATATATTTATAACAATGTGTGTAAATTTGTCGTTCATAAAACAGTGTATAATTTTCATCTTGGGACAACATTGCTTTTTTTAGCATTCATTTCTATATTTAGGATTCTGTGGCAGTCTGTGTTTACTTAATTAGGTATTTTCCAGCAATATTTGTATATATGGCACTTTTTGAAGACAATTTTTGTAAATTTGGTATCCATTGACCTTCTGAATTTTGGCATTAATTTTATAACTTGTGTTTATTTTGCTCTAGTTTCAACTAAAAGTGTAAATTTGTCATTGTATCATATAACCTATGACTGACATTCTTTTTACATTTAGCATAAATTCTTGTAATCCCTCAAAAGGATTGTTAAACATTTATAGTAGTGGTGCAGTACATACATTATCAATAGTGTTGACACATGATAAGTCAATGATAAATGTGGCAGAAATGATAAGCCTGTAAATTGATGTGATGTCATATATGTAACTTGCATACATTAATTGGTTTTACTGATTTATGATGAGAAAATGTACTTGTAAGCTAAAAGGAAATTTTATTGGAGGGTGAACAGTAATTGACATATAAGGACATATATTTTCTATAGTGTGACACAGAAAATCTAACAATATTATTGTTTTTAGCTCAACTTTTCAAAGAATATTGAGAGTTATTGTACTCACTCTGGCATCAGTGTCATACTTTGGTTAAGTTTTTGCATTCATGTTGGTATCTTCTACCAAAGGGAATGGGTTGAAACATTTTTTTCTCTTTGATTATCTAACATGATGGACATAGGTTACAGAGTTATGGCCCTTCTCTTACAGTCAAGCACTGAGAATAGTGGAGCCCACTGTGTTACTGACAGCACTTCGTATGTTATTTATTTCATCAGATAAATTTACATGTTTTAAAGAACCAGAACCTGATTGTTGCTGAATTCAATGTAATAGTCTTTTGAAATTAAAGTTGCTTCTATTAAATAATGTACTTGGTGGTAAAGTACAGAAACTACTATCTGAAATAGCTAGTTTTGTGTGTATCAAAATTTAATTTTCTTTAGCAGTCAATTAATTATTTTTGTTTAGGGATCAAATTTTAGTTTTTGTTTCTTCTTGGTTTATACCATGATACCATTTTAATTTGCAACACTTACATGAATGTTTTAAGCTAAGAATGAAAGTTTGCGTTGTACATTTAGTAATAGTAATTATTGTACATTCAGTAATAGTAATTCTTGTACATTCAGTAATAGTAATTCTTGTACATTCAGTAATAGTAATTCTTATACTGATTTTTTTCATATTCTTTGAATATATTGTAAACTTAAAGTTAAAGCTTAATTTTTGTAAGGAACCGTAAATGGTTAAAGTAACTGTTTTTTTTATATGAAAAATGTTTACAATATTTTGAAGAATTTATGGTTGGAACGGTACATAAATTGGTTTTTAATAGAACACTGTGTTTATTATGATTTTATACTTTTCTATAACAAAAAGTTTTGTTTTCACACACCAAGTTAAACAAGAAGTCATTGTTTTGTTTTATACAAATTTTGTAAAAAAAGAAATCAATGCAGCATGTCTCATTGTACAAAAATATTTGTGAAATATTTTACAACAAAACGTAAGATATGCTGTCATTTTTTCATCGTCTTAGTGTTGTATTTTGAATGTTGTTTTTTTGAGACATGACATTTTCAATTTTTGTGCTAATTATCTACATTTTATGTATCTTACATATTTTTGGACTATTTAGCTTACATACTGGATCTGATTGTTTGTAGTACACTTTACTTTTAAAGTAAAATAGGTTTATTCCATGCACTTTAATTTATTTTTCACTCAAACTTTTTTCAACATGATTAAAGTTGGACACTTGTCCTTCTTTATTTTTATTTATCACATATCCATGCCACTTTTGTGATTCATCATCATCTATATCCCTCTGTGATACTGTTTCTCATAGCATCTTCATTTATTCCCTGATTTCTTACATATTTAATTGTTGGTACTTTGCATTATGAACAGTGCTACCATTAGATAGATTTTTAGGTCAATTTGGTCAAGGTCACTTGCGCTATTTAGGTCATTTTTGTCAAGGTCACTTGGGCTATTAAGGACATTGTCGTGAAGGTCATTTGGGCGATTTTGGTCAAGGTCACTGGGCTTTTTACATGTAGAACATTTTGGTCAAGGTCACTTAGACTATTTAGGTCAAGGTCACTTGGTCTATTTAGGTCAAGGTCACTTGGTCTATTTAGGTCAAGGTCACTTGGTCTATTTAGGTCAAGGTCAAAGTATCTTAGGTTAAAAATTGGACATTATTGATGTACTCTCAAAGACAGTATAGATGTCTTGTTATGAGTCTAATACTCAATAAATCTGCAATAGATTTGTTGTTTACATTTTTAGCTCACCTGTCACAAAGTGACAGGGTGAGCTTTTGTGATCGCTTTTCGTCCGGCGTCCGTCCGTCCGTCGTCCGTCCGTCGTCCGTCCGTCCGTCCGTAAACTTTTACTTTAAATGACATCTCCTCATAAACCACTAAGCCAATTTCATCCAAACTTCACAGGAATGTTCCTTTGGTGGTCACCTTTAAAAATTGTTCAAAGAATTTAATTCCATGCAGAACTCTGGTTGCCATGGCAACCGAAAGAAAAAACTTTAAATATCTTCTTTTAAAAAACCATAAGAGCTAGAGCTTAGATTTTTGGCATGAAACATCTTCTAGTGAGTGTCTACCAAGTTTGTTCAAATAAAAGCCCTGGGGTCAAAATTGGCCCCGCCCCGGGGGATCATTGATTTTCCCTATATGCATATAGTAAAAACTTAAAAAATCTTCTTTTAAAGAACCCAAAGAGCTAGAGCTAAGATATTTAGCATGAAACATGTTCTAATGGGTTTCTACCAAGTTTGTTCAAATAAAAGCCCTGGGGTCAAAATTGGCCCCGCCCCGGGGGTCATTGATTTTCCCTATATGCATATAGTAAAAAAGTTAAAAAATCTTCTTTTAAAGAACTCAAAGAGCTATGGCTAAGATATTGAGCATCAAACATGTTCTAATAGGTGTCTACCAAGTTTGTTCAAATAAAAGCCCTGGGGTCAAAATTGGCCCCGCCCCAGGGGGTCATTGATTTTCCCTATATGCATATAGTAAAAACTTAAAAAATCTTCTTTTAAAGAACCAAAAGAGTAAGAGCTAAGATATTTAGCATGAAACATGTTCTAATGGGTGTCTACCAAGTTTGTTCAAATAAAAGCCCTGGGGTCAAAATTGGCCCCGCCCGGGGGGTCATTGATTTTCCCTATATGCATATAGTAAAAAGTTAAAAAATTTTCTTTTAAAGAACTCAAAGAGCTATGGCTAAGATATTGAGCATCAAACATGTTCTAATAGGTGTCTACCAAGTTTGTTCAAATAAAAAGCCCTAGGGTCAAAATTGGCCCCGCCCCAGGGGGGTCATTGATTTTCCCTATATGCATATAGTAAAAACTTAAAAAATCTACTTTTAAAGAACCAAAAGAGTTAGAGCTAAGATATTTAGCATGAAACATGATCTAATAAGTGTCTACCAAGTTTGTTCAAATAAAAGCCCTGGGGTCAAAATTGGCCCCGCCCCGGGGGTCATTGATTTTCCCTATATGAATATAGTAAAAACTTAAAAAATCTTCTGTTAAAGAACTCAAAGAGCTATGGCTAAGATATTTAGCATCAAACATGTTCTAATTGGTGTCTACCAAGTTTGTTCAAATAAAAGCCCTGGGGTCAAAATTGGCACCGCCCTAGGGGTCATTGATTTTCCTTATATGTGTATAGCAAAAACTTAAAAAATCTTTTTTGAAAAAACCCAAATAGCTAGAGTTAAGATATTAAGCATGAAACATCTTTTAGTGAGTGTCTACAAAGTTTGTTCAAATAAAAGACCTGGGGTCAAAATTGGCCCCGTCCCGGGGGTCATTGATTTTCTTTATATGTGTATAGCAAAGACTTAAAATCTTCTTTGAAAAAACCCGAATAGCTAGAGTTTAGATATTAAGCATGAAACATCTTCTAGTAAGTGTCTACAAAGTTTGTTCAAATAAAAGCCCTGGGGTCAAAACTGGCCCGGCCCCAGGGGTGTCATTGTTTTTAACTATATGTGTATAGTAAAAACTTTAAAAAAAATCTTCTTTTAAAAAGCCCAATTAGCTAGAGCTTAGATGTTTAGCAAAAAACATCTTCTTATGGGTGTCTACCAAGTTTGTGCAAATAAAAGCCCTTGGGTTAAATTGGCCCCGCAACGTTGGGGGGGGGGGGGGCTATATACAGGTGAGCGACCTCAGGGCCATCATGGCCCTCTTGTTTTTATTCCACTTTATTTTTTTCATTTTAACTGCGAAATTTAACTTTTAATGGAGTGAAGGGCTACTTAAGTCAAAGTCACCATTGCTAAAAATAGATTTTACACTTCTTCTTTATTTAGAAATCTAGCCTTTATTTTATTGATGGATATTTTTTGGTAGGAACATATCTTGCCTGTTCTTCTAACTTTGTGGAGTTAGGGGTCACTGGGGTCAAGGGTCACAAGTGGTAAAAATAGATTTTTACTTTTTTTGCTTATTCAGCCTTTGTTTATTGACCTATGTGCATTAAGGTACATTGACAAATGAGCAAGTTCATGGAGCGTCCATCGTCATTAGCAATATGTCTTATTTTTATCTGAATGTTATACCAGTTTTTCATACGGTGATCTTTTGTACAGTTTTCTTGTTTTTGGAAATGTTGTTTTGCACTTAAGTGTTTGTTTGACATTTTTGTACTCTTTGTAATAGTAATAATTGAGAGCAAGATATTTGTGTTTATACCTGTACAATTCTTACAGTTTGGTGCTTTAAATGATGAGGATAGTAAGTTTATTTTATACTAAAACATTACTAAACATGGTAGCTATTTATAAGTTCTTGTCTTTTAATAATTAAATGATTCAGATAATTCTATACTATGATGTATATCTTGCCCGAGGTTTCACATTTTGTAGTTGATGCCCCAATCTGTATGTGATAGTTTTTTTTTTAACATCATTGTGTAGTTGACGCCCCTATCAGTACTTGGTTTAAACATATTTATTTAAGCTCGATTGCGAAGCAAGTTCTTGCAACTTATATTAATCACTTTCGAGTCCGCTTCCTGGAACCAACCAGTACTGGTGTCGTATGAAGAAACATGGTCGTGACCCGAGTAGGGCTCGAACCCATGATCTCTGGGTTGAGAGGCAGACACCTTAACCACTAGGCCACCGCTCCCCTTCTATCAGTACTTCACATGGTTATAATCATAATTCTTTACTTGACGCCTATATATTTTGATACCTGTAATTATCATAGTTCTTCTTCTATGCTGTTTTGCATCCTGAAGTATGCAGAAATTCTACATTTTAATTCCATTCCATTTTTAATTTGAGCGCAGTGGGGGAGGTTGCTTCAATCATTTTTCTTTTATTTTTTGAACAGCTATGTGAATCTCATTAGATGATTATATGAGCCGCGTCATGACAAAACCAACGTAATGCGTTTGCGACCATTATGGACCCAGACCAGCCTGAGCATACGCGCAGTCTGATAAGGATCCATACTGTTCGCTTACCAACCCTATAACAAGTACAGAAACTGATAGCGAACAGCATGGATCCTGATCAGACTGTGCGGATGCGCAGGCTGGTCTGGATCCATGCTGGTCGCAAACGCACTATGTTGGTTTTGTCGTGACGCAGCTCATATTAGGAATTAATACAGCCGGTTAGTCTAATGATCTTAGACTGCCCTACTACAATTGAAAACAATGCATGTGCAGACATTGTAAGCCTAAAATTTTATGCAGATCTGATGATGTTTTCACAATATTCATGAAAAAAACAAAAAACTGATTATTTCCATCAGAAAGGAACTAAAGCATAACAAATGACAACAGTGAATAAAGGTGATAAAAAAAACCCATAACAGTGTAATGCAAACAATTTCACAGATTAATATGTTACTTTTCATTGACATACTGTACTGTTTGCAGTTAATAAATGATCTACTCACTCTCAGTTGACTGTTTGTGCCTGAAATAATACACGGAGGGGCACCTGAGGTATTCCTCCACCAGTAAAGCTGGAAAGTCGCCGTATGACCTATACTGTGTTGGTGTAAAACCCGACAACAAAAAAATGTAAATGATCTATCCAAATGCCTATGGTAGTCTACAAATCACATTGATATTCATTATTATGTTATTGAAAATTATTATTTATGTTGAAACTATTAAATTTTAGGGGTGATTGATATTTTGATAGTAAAAACAGTTTGATTTGTTAACTGTGTTTTCTAATGAACAAAATACATGTATTCATACTTTTGTCACATGATGTGGCTTCTATTCAATCCAATATAAACACTATTTACTTCATTACACTGGGCTCATTTAATATAAAACATGACATATGGAAAATTATATGTGTACTTTTCCATTCTTAAAATAGCAAATGCTAAATTTAGACTGGATATTCCAAAAGTTATACTTTTCGTAAGTTTGAGCCAATCATGATTTTCTTGGGCTAATTAAATAATTTTGGAGCCAATTTGCTCACTGGCTCCTGCCAGCGCAAGCCCTGTATCCAGCCATATGCGAGTCACATGTCAGTGAGTCACATGACTAATGTCATTTATAATAATACCCATAACATGAAGAGTTTTGCAGATTTTGACATTTTATGACTTTACCATATCATGTGATAAGAAGAATCTTGTAGTTGTAACAATTTCATCATGTAACATGTCATCTTAACACTGATTCTGCTCTGATTCTACCCCTGTGACCAGTGAAGACCAATATCAGCCAGTCAGCCAGCACTTATGTGCAGTCTGATCATGGTATGCACTGTTCGCTTTTTAGTCCGTACACAAAATGTACATGAAATATTCCCTTAAAATGATAGTTTGGTCCAGATTGAAGGACGGACAAGCCCATCTAGGATAATTAGGTTTGTGATATAACTTCAAAGCAGGATTATTTATGTAGTACATTAGTTAAGCAGGGTAATGATAATATACTAAAACTTATTTACATCTACAACCAATTTGTTTGCTATGATAGTTCTATGTTACCTGATGTTTGATTCTACCAATTGTATTAGATTAAGAAAATATATAATTTTTGTTGTGCAGTGTGTTTAAGTCAAATGTGTTGTATTTTTCTTATGCATAGAAACAGTTCATGTAAATAACATTAAGTTATTGTACGCATTAAGATATCTTAATTAGCCCCACCCTAGCCACTTTGTGAGTGAACAAACATTTTATGTGTTTCTGTCATAATTTGTTATCATTGACTGTACATGCTTGTTGAAATTATTACAAATATATTTTATTTCTTGTAAATGAGTTTTATACTTATATATAAAATAAAACACCCCAAGAAGCAAGAGATGTCTTCCAGATGTTTGTAACTCTTACAAATTTATAAAAAAAAGATTCCGGATACAGTTGACACACAAATTATTATTAATGTTCAATTATTATTAATGCTCAATCAAACCATGCCTGCAGCATTTTGAATTCTGCCGTTTTTTCTCTATATTAAGCTGTGTACCTAGTTTCAGAGATTTTGAGTTACTAAATCAATATGGCCTATGCTACTAGTACAGGGTCTTGCAAATCAGCAAATGTTTTTGGTCTGTCCTGTACCAACTTTGATAGATTTAATTCAAGTATTACAAGCACAAGTATGAACTGACACGAGAAAAATCTGTATATATTTAACATGAGTGACGGACACCGGACATAGCCCTATCACTATACCTCACCTTGACCACTTCGTGGTCAGGTGAGCTAAAAAATGGAAGATTAACCATTCCAATTTGGAAATATAAACATTTAAGTTGTAAACTACTTTATTTTCACTCGGTTAACACTAAAAAGTACAGATGAATTTGCAAATATTTCTCAATTCAAGATTAAAGAAGAAAACCATAATCGGACATGGCAAATCAGAATATTAAAGTTAAAAGAAAATGAAGGAAAAAAAATGGCTCACAGAAGGGCTTGAGCCTATGCCCCATGTTAACTCAGTAGGAATACTGTTCAAAAAGGAGGTTTTGCATTAGGCTTCTAATACCTTCTGAATTAAAATCACACTAAGTCAGTTACAGAAAATTAACTGTGAATTGGTAAATATTGAGAAGACCGAGAAAGGCATACTATCAACATACAGAGAAACAAGACTAATGCAAGAAGAAAAAACACCCGTCTATAAACTACCTGCTTGTGTATTATCAGCGGTTTTTCTCTATTAATTGGGAAGAGGCCTAATCCTATTAATTTTGGGGAAAACTATAAAAATAATTGCTATAATTGGTAATTTGGAAATGTAAGTTCAGTTTTTGTGAAAACTACATGACTCTGAAGAAAATTATGATTGGGAGTAATATACAAGATTAAAAATCACTGATTATGAAATCAAATTTTAAAATGCATCAAATGTGTATTAGCTTCTCAATGTAATCATGGCAATTATAGTAAAGACTGTCATATGTGATTATCCAAGGGGCACCTTTAGGAAGAGGTTACATATATGACAGGGAGTCTCTAAATACAGTCACAAAGAAAAAATTTAATTTTAAAAAACATCCATATACCATTGTGACTTGCATACATAACTAATATAATGACATTAATATAGAGAAATATGTTGGGCGGACTGAAACAAGGTCACATAGAAGACAAGAGATTCCTTGAAATCAGGGGGTCACTCATCAGTCTTGACTGTATATTAAAATTAAAGCTGTTGTACGGAAAGATTATGATGAATTAGGAAATATGTATCGCAACACTAGACGATAATATATAGTAAACATTATGTTTGAGATAATGCAGTGAGAGATAAAGTGTTGCCTTGGGTACTATGGTCTTTTGAAGTCGGTCAGCTTCAAACGCTAGATCCCCTATCTTCTGTTGATTCTTTTGGCAGATTTTAGGTTAGAAACAGGTGCCTTCTAATGCTTGAAAAAG